GTGAGAATGAAATGGTAGCACCATTCCAAAGAGGATCAGTTTCCAAAATTAAGATACTCTACACATTTAATCTGAGACATTTGAAGACTAGTTCTTATAACCTCTGGACAGCTCACTGTCCCCTACTCTGATTCTAGAGTCTCTAATTTCTGTCTTATTAGACCTCTTTGAATTGTGCAGTGTCTAGAGCACAGGTACTAAAAATGTGGTCCTTGGAGCAGCAGCATCGGTATAACCTTGTAGCTTGTAGAAGCACAGAATCTCAGCCCCACTCTACACCCACTGAATCTCACTTCACATTTTAACAACACCCCTGGTGATTTATATGCACTTATTAATTTGAGAAGTAGGTGCCTAGAACACACACCTATATGATGAGCTCGTGAAAGAAAGAGCTTCTACGTTGTGGAAAAGCATATTAAGAATTATTCAAAAATTTGCCTCAATGGCTTTTTCTAAATGTTCTAGAGACCAAGACTGTAATAAATATGTGAAAGGTTAAAAGGTTTCTACTCTATTAAGAAAGGGTTTTATAATAATGGGAACTGTCCAACCACAATATAGGCTAGCCTCCTAAGGCTCTGAGTAAACTTGCTTGACTGACTATGATGGATTTTGTAGATTCCTACTATGCATGAGAGGTCAGACTTAAGAACACCTATGCGTCCTTCCCACAAGAAGGGACAATTAGTATATAAACCAGGCAAATGTGATGCCACTCTTCAGCAAGGTCTTTATACATGATTGATAAGAAGCCTTGGAATGAGGCTGCACCAACAGCTTGTTTCCAAATAAAAAAAAAAAAACATAGTTTTTTTAAAGTTTTACAAAACACCATGGCTGATTTGATTAATGGCCACATCCCTGCCTAGGTTCTAGCTGACCATGAACTAAGTAATTTAAAGACAACATCATCATTTGCAAATACCTGAACAGGGCCACAGTCACACTCTTCTCCTTCATCCAACTTTTTGTTTCCACAATATTGGAAATCATCGAACTTGGCAGGAAATGGAATATTGAGCATGCATGTTGGCTTGTAATCCTTCAGGAATTGCTGGTATTGGTTTTGGCTGCATTTACTGAATTTTAGTGCAGGAATGCTAGAGATAAGATGAGGTAAAAAAATAAAATAAGATTAATCATATCAATGCATAGTGGTATAGCAGCTCTGTAAGTTTTATGAAGCAATTAGAAAAACCAAATGTAAATGTTCACTGTTAGAGCAGAGCAGAAACTGGGCTCTTTATTATTAAAAATATCTTCTCAAAACACAGCTAAGACATGCTATTTTAGTGCAAATACTCTGGCTATACATCTTCCAGCAAATTTTTTCTGAATCCCACAGTTAAGAATGGTTGTCTATGCTTGCTGCTCCCATATTCCTTTTTATTTGGTCCTCTCAAAATAATCTACCTACTTGTTTATCATCCCTG